CCCTCATAGTTCTCCTTTAATTGTTCATTTTGGACTAGGGGCAACATATATATATAAATAAATAAATATACTTACCAGATCATCGGTCCCGTCTTGGTACTGCAGCTTCTCCAACCCCGCCCCCCGGCTTCAATGGTCTAAGCCCTGCTGATGTCACCACTTCTCATGCAGTCCATTCACCTGCAAAGGACGTGAGGACACCGAGGGACATTCCACCGAGGGAGAGAGGTGAGCACTGACTGCCGCAGGACTGAGTGTATCTTCTTTATGCGAGCCCCCATAGACCCCCCCCCAGGCAAATGTAAAAACAGCTCTGGCAGCAAAAGAGTTAAAGCCCAATCTTACTTTTGTAATTCTTCATGGAGTCATGCATACCATATCCTGATGTCTTCAGTCCAGTCACATGATCCTCGGGGTACTCTTTCCTTTGTGTTCTGGCGGCTGCTGAATGCACCCCCATATATAGAAGGGTGCCATGTAGTGACAATGTTCCATTCTCTGCATCACTCTTCTGTAAACCTGTGACATTTCCTTAGGGCTGGGGTTGGCAACTCCGGTCTTCCAGCTGTTGTGGAACTACAGGTCCCATGAGGCATTGCAAGACTGACAGTTAGGCCTCATTCACACTACTAAGAGCCGGCCCTTACAGATTCGTGCGGCGTGCACAGCCATATCGGTTCGCTCGCGGGAAGGACAGGTGCCGCAAGTGATTGCACGCAACAGCCTGTTATTCTCTATGGGAGTATGCGGCCGTACTGCACACCCATGGATCCTGTCTGCGTCTGAGCACGGACACCCGCACGGATGTGCAGTTCGAGTGAGCGTATGGCACGATATGGCCGTGCACGCCGCACGGATCTGTACGGGCCGGCTCTTAGCAGTGTGACTCCCAGAGGCAAAGGCATGTTGGGATTTGTAGTTAAAGCAGTTGCACACCCCTGCCTTAGGGTGTGTGTCCTTGATGCACTGGGCTCAGAGGAAGTGATGCATCATCCCACTGACTAGAAGATTGATGCTAGACCATTGAGGAGCACAATAATGCATTAGAAGAGCCTAGAGAGGGTGGAGAGGGTAACTTTTTACACTAGAGGTGTGAGGCCATGGGTTCTGGCACATGGGGGGGTTGTTTTTGTTTGCTATTTTCATATGGTTTTTGGGGAGCACTGGGCACTTTTTTCCTAGTGGGATGCGGCACCCTCTGTTGCCTGTTGTACAGCAATACTGTCACCTTGCAAGTGTTGAAGCTTTCACAGGTTCACTTTAACTTAAGTTTTCATCTATCCTCCCGTGCCATCACTCCTCCCCTACATACCGCTCATCCAAAAGATTTTTAAAAAGCAGCGCTCGTCTTTTGCAGCGACATGTCAAAAATAACTGCGTAGAACCCCCGCCGGCCCCAGACAGTCACCTTTATCACAAAATTTAAAAAAACTAGAATGAAAAAATAAAAATCAAGGACAGGAGATGGCTGGAAGACAGTCCTGTACAGATAGTAAGGTTTACACAACTGTCAGATTAATTTTCTGTGTGTTTTGATGAGGTTTCAGCAGAAATCACTCCAGCTACAGTAACTATGACAATATTTATACAAAGTATTTGCTGTAACATAGTAACTATCTGTCCCTGAACTGACAGCTGAGAAGCGGTTACATCGTGACACGCTGCGCCGCTGCCATCTAGTGGCCAAGAATCAGATTGAGGGCTTGTTCACGCGACGTCCGTTTTCTGTGCTGACCTGATCCGTACGCACTCCTGCACAAAAAATGCATCCCAATGTATCCCTATGCGTTTTATGGGCTGCAGTTCTCACGTGCGCAGTCCGTTACGACAGAAAAAAATACTGCATGTCACATTTTGCCTGGTCAGGAAACGCACGAACGCAGCAAAAATATAACGGAAACGGAACGCAATGCAGCTAAGCAAAAAAAGATAGACAGACAGGTTGGTGTAGAGGTAAAGACATGAACTGCAAACATTTTGAACATGCCCATTACCTTTCCATGGACATACGAGTAAAGGAAAAAAATGTATCCGGGTGAGCTCGCAAATCCTCATATAAACTCCAGAACTGACCCCAGGAGTCCCGGAGCCTCAAGGCCGGGTGTACCCAATAAGGACATCCACAGCAGCCATCAGGTGGGTACGGCCGATACTCATGTAAGGGGCCTGGGGGGCCTGCCCGGGTAACTTACATGACTATCGGCCGACGGTGAAGGGCGAGGAGGCGGAGGCCTGGCCCTAGCAGTGCAGGGCCCCAGCATTGTCGCTCCAGCGGCTTCGAGACAAGCTGGGGCCCCATCAGCGATGCTGCTTGTCTGATGTCGGACTGGCCGGAAGTGACATCACGTTAGTGACGTGACGTCACTTCTGGCCTGTCCGGCGGCAGACGAGGCCATGTGTGCAGGTAGGAAGAGCTAGGAAGGAAAGGACCAGCCCACCTGAGACCCCTTCAGAGCCCACCATAGACAGTCTCAGATGGGCTGTGCAGCATCTATGGTGGGCTCTGCAGGGTCACTCTCAGGTGGGTCCTGTGTCCAGCGCGTCACTAAGCCCCGTGTCCAGCGTCGGGGGGGGGGGCAGCCTAAAGCCGTGTAAGGGGCCCCCAAAATTTCTGATGGCTGCACTGGATGGGTTAAAAGCAACAACATATGGGAACATCTTCAAGTGTCCACCATACGGCGGACGTGCATGTTGTGGAAAAAAAGAGTCTCATTCAGGTCCAACTGTTCGTGGCCTCTTGGGGGGGGGGGGGGGGGGGCGTGCTAAAGCCGTGTAAGGGGCCCCAAAATGTCTGATGGCTGCCCTGACGATGTCTCCTGCGGGCTCGTAGCCAGCACCATCAACCACCATCAAGCCAGGTGGAGTGACTCGCCACCCGACTTCCCAATTAGCAAGCAAGCCGTCCCCCTGCTTCTCATCACTAGGTGACGAGAACGCATGGAGGCGGGTTTTTGGCCAGTCCGGAAGCCGGGCAGCGTGTAATGACTCTCTGCCCAGCTTCCTGATACCGGAAGCATCGGGCTAGGCATCGGAGCATTTTGGCGAGTACGAGTACTCGCCCAAATACTCGGCATTGGCACCGGTACTGATACAAGTATCGGTATTGGTGCATCCTTAACCCCTTAGTGACGGGAGACGTACACTGTACGTCCCGGCATTTTGTGCCTATATGACTGGCCACGTACACTGTACCTGACGAGTTATATCAGTATCTGTAATGCCGGTAACTGCTGATTCTCAGCGGTTACCAGTCACTAATGAAAGAATGAAACCGTTACATGCAAATACGGGAGCGCTAAAGAGCGCTCCGATATTTGACAGCTGAAAATAGCAGAGAGGCAGCAGAGTGACTCACCTCCCTGCTATTTGTTTTGAAAGCTCCATAGACTGGCCCGATGTTTATGAAGCTATGTGATACATCTCAAGCATAAAAAAAAATAATGAAAACTTGTGAAAAAAAGTGTTTTCTTCTAGTTTTTTTCCTCATTTTTTATATTTGATTCAAACTAAGTGAGGCGTTGGGTACACATGTTTGATATAATTATATAGCCCTATCTGTCCTCTAAAAAACAATATATAATATGTGTGGGTACATTTAGTAAGAAAGTATATTACAGCCGTGGAAGAATCACACAGCAAAAATGTAAAAAGCGTGTTAGTCATTTATGAACAGAAACTGAAAACTAGCTCAGTCATGAAGGGGTTAATACTATGACCTGGATGAATGAGAACCCTTCACTGACAAGCCACATGCCTTTTAACAATGAGTGGATACCTTGCAAGGGGGGAAGCAAAACCTCCTCCCACTCGGCACCTTTTCCCAATGTTAAGTGGCAAGGGCCTCTTCCTTATGGGGGTGGCAGGGTTTGTTGAAGGTCGGGGGCACTTTCTGGAATCAGTACAATAAGGGGGTCCCAGATATCCGCTCCCTCCCAGGGGATTGAATACGTACATCAGTAGCTCTTACCTATTCCCACAAAGAGATGGAACCCAACCTGAACCCAAATCTCATCATCACCAGTTGGTATCAATCAGTCCTGGGCTCTGCATTCTGTATTATACAGGACATCTCTGTCTTTGCTAAATAATGATCCTACATACATAATCGCATCGTCAGACATTTTGCATTTTAGTATTATTAAAACAATGGCTTTACCACCTTAAAGGAGAACTATGACATGAGTGATTTCCACTCACCTCATAGTTCTAAGCCGACCTGTGACAATGAGACTGTCACAGGTCGGCTCAGTAGATCGGGAGGTGAGCGAACACATACCGGCGTTCGCTCACCTCTCGATCCTGTCACAGCTCTCTGCCGTGACAGGGAAGGGGCTGGATTCCCCTCTCCCCGCTCCGATCCGCCAGCGCTGACTGGCGGAACGGACGGGGGGGGGGGCGGGCACAGCTGGCTCTGCCTCTACGTAGGCAGAGCCAGCTGTCACTCACGCAGCTGGGTGGATCCCGTCATCTATGTCGGGATCCGCTCCAGGTGCGGCGCTCTCAGTATGCGGTATACTGAGCTTAGGGTAACGGGAGGACGCTAGTTTGTGTCCTCCCGTTACCCTAATGAGAACTATGGGGAAAAGCCTTAACCCCATAGTTCTCCTTTAATCACTTGGGATATGGGGAATTGGGAGTATACTGATATACAGAACACCCCCTGGATATTTTGGTGCAGTGCTTCGCATGACTCTGCACAGCACCTGAGTTAAAATCAGACCCCGGTGACAGGAGACTTTTCTTTAAAGGAGAACTATGGGGTTAAGTCTTTTCCCCATAGTTCTCCTTAGGGTAACGGGAGGACACAAACTAGCGTCCTCCCGTCACCCTAGGCTTCTGATACATTGTAAAGGGAACGCCCACTTCTTCAGCACTGAGGAGACGGATCTGTAACAAAGTTTGCTCTCCCCACAATGCGTTGGGTTCACCCGGCCAGGATGTTATGTTTCCTTTCACAAAAGTTACACTGAAATAAACCGAAGGAAGAGAATCGGACTTACTGACGGCCAGGACGAAGATGGAGAAGACGCCGATGACCTGCCACAGCCGCAGCCCCCAGAACACCACCGTCTCTGAGGTCACCGGGTCCGGCTTCTGCTTCGGGGGGTCTGTGGGGGCCTGAAAGGGAAATCAGAGGCGTCCATTAGATCCCGCTGGGCCGGAATATCAGTTCAGAATGTTTTCCTGAAATAATTCATCATCATCATCATCATCATCATCATCTATATTTCTATTACTGCAGAGGCCGAATTAGACAGAAGGCGAGAACTAAATGAAAAAAGCCGCCTCGCACCGCAAATGTTGGCTCAGAATTCTGCGCACCATTAATAAGCAACAAAGTACAAATGAGGTGAGAAAAACACAGCAACCTCCCCACTACGAAATAAGAAAAAAGACCAGAAGTATACATATTTGGTTCTTTAAAGCTGATCTCCGTCCTTCCCTTCAGCCTTATATCTGACCTCCGGCCTTCCCTTCAATTTTCTATCTGACCTCCGTCCTTCCCTTCAGTCTTCTATCTGACCTCCGTCCTTCCCTTCAGTCTTCTATCTCACCTCCGTCCTTCCCTTCAGTCTTCTATCTGACCTCCGTCCTTCCCTTCAGTCTTCTATCTGACCTCCGTCCTTCCCTCCAGTCTTCTATCTGACCTCCGTCCTTCCCTCCAGTCTTCTATCTGACCTCCGTCCTTCCCTCCAGTCTTCTATCTGACCTCCGTCCTTCCCTCCAGTCTTCTATCTGACCTCCGTCCTCCCCTCCAGTCTTGCACAGTTGTACCGGCTCCTCTTCCTCTGCACACTGGGAGCGTCTCACAATGTGCATTAGAAGCCTCAGGTCACATAGAGCTCCGCCCCATTTCCTGGCTGGAGGACGTCCAGCATCACCCTGACTGGCTCTGTCCCCACCGCTTTCATCTATTGGATTTCAGTCCTTTTAATCATGGAGTCTCAGCATCACATGTGAGTGTTACCTAGGGTGGTCCGCTTTCACATGCAAGTTGCCTAGGAATGCCCCTCCTTTCAGAATGATACCCACCCTTGATATTTGCATAACTCCTCCCAATATCCAGCCCACTGCTTGCTTCAGGGCCGAGGACTCTTGATTGTAATACTGAGGCAGGGTGCTGGGATGTTTTCAGGACGCCATGTACAGCACCCTGTATCCATTGTTGCTGATCATTTTCCTGGTCCCATGCATAGTTCCGGCCCAGGTGTCACCGGTCAGAGCTGGGAGCTGATGGCGCAGGCAGCGTCGCGTCCAGGTCAGTAACCCTCGCTGGTGCCGCCCTCAGCGAATCTGCCGCTCCAGGCAAACGCCTTGTTTGCCTCGCAGCAGATACGCCCCCTGGGACGCAGGACACAGGAGCATCCGCCTTCCATGTAAGTACCCACTGACACCTGGGACATGGAATTATGTTTTATACGCTGGTTATAAAACATTTAGCAATTGTTCTGACGGACATCCGGGTTCCCAAAGCAACAGCAGAACCATCAGAATGAAATGGATTTACTCCTGATATTCCTCCTGAGAAATTCTGAATGGATAATTATGTAACAAATTATTTCTGTCATAGAATTTTATTATTATTATTATAAATTGTTCTGTTTCTTTTATTATATTATTTCACACACAGCACTTGTCTTCTCTTACAGGCTCATACCGACAAGTGTAGCTGACCTTCAGAACCATGGAGCTGTCAAATGAGAATGCTAATGTAGCCCCCATCACCTTCTGTGATGTGGCTACTAGACATTCAGTGATGGCCGGGGCTGTAGTCAGTCTGGCTGGATTATAGTTGGCATTTATCTGGTTAATTCCAGGTGTCTGGCATAAGCCCTCGTTCACACCTGAACGTTTTGTAGCGCGTTCTACGCTCGACGAACGCTCTACAAAACGCTCAAACATCTAAATCCCATTGTATTCAATGGGTCTGGTTCACACCTTGGCGTATTTCCGCCCGTCCCTAACGCACTACAAAACGGCCCACGCCTGAAAAGGTACAGGTACTACTTTGGGCCGTTTTTGTTTGCGCATTTCCATTGGGATACAGCCATGTAGCCCTCGGAAACGCACGTTTGTCGCGCGATTTTTTTTACCACGCATCGCTGTAAAAAAAAACGCGCGACAGACGCGCATATGCAATACGCCTAGGTGTGAACCAGGCCTTACTGTACCTGCCTGAGTGGAGTGTGACTCTGCTGTATTGTGGGACAGCCAATGAGAGGCACTGTGTCCAGACAGCAAGGATAGCTTGCCACAAACTTGTGTCCGGGTTAAATTGTAATTCTTGATAACTTGCCGCACACATTCCTGGCAGGTTGTAGACTTGCAGAACGCTCGCAGCACAAGTTCTAGGCGACACTTTTTGAATATGTAGCAAATTTGCTCGGTAAGTCTACAGCAAGAGTCCTGCAGGTCTTAGCGAGAGCTCTGCGTGTGTGCAGCACTTCTGCAAAGCGCGTTGATCTGGAGACTCGCAATGCTTGGCAGGTCTGCAATAGTTTAGCAAGTCATTTTCAAACTTGCAGCTCAATTGCTTGCTATCTGGGGTGAGGGTATGCACAGAACAGCAGCCAATCACTGGGTTTCTCTCAACCAGTGGTGCATGCTGGGATAGGGTACATGTACTGGAGGGGTTTTCCATGCGCTCAGAGTAGTTACTCTCCCTGGGGAAGCAGGGAGAGTAAATCCGGTCCTGTATTTAATAGGATCATAGGTAAATTGGCCCACATCTACCCCACTATTTATAAAGAACTAAAACCAAAGTTCTGATTGTTTATTAAACTCCTAAGAAAAAAGAAGCAGAGAGGTAAAAGGCTGATAAAGACAAAAACAAAGTTCAGCCACTTCCACTAAATGTTATTCTGCCACCTTCCGCCTCTGATAAAGATTAATGCCTGTAGTCGCAGGCGCCATCATAAAAAAATGGAAAAAAAATACAACACTGGAATTGGAAACGAGTAAAATACTATTTCCATTTGTTACTGATCTTCCTGATGTCATAACAAGGTGAAATAATTATGATTAGATTGATTTGGCAAGGGAATTATTATTTTCAGCACTTCACTAACGTTCTCGTATCATCGGTGGAACGCCGGCGCCACCTAGTGGACACAAATCAGATTGCGGCCACAAACTGCATTGCATGAGATGATAAATACAGAAATTGGGGAATTTCCCATAATCTGCTTGGATGGGGATTTGAACAATTCGCCATCCGATTCCAGTTTGTGGAATCCACATGTCGCTGTGATTCACAGATATTCTAACTTGGCGCTTTTATAGGGTCCTGGAAAACATGTTTGTATATATTATTATTAATATGATTATTATTATACGGGATTTATAGAGCGCACAGTTTGTGCAGCGCTTTACAATATAAGGAAGACGTTACAGTCACAATACAATTCAAGACAGGATGGTTAGTAAGGGCCCTGCCCCTGAGGGCTCACAATCTAAAAGGGAGGGGCCAGTGATCCATGAGGAGGGAGCTGTGTGGGGGATGAATTGTCTGAGAACGTGATTGTTGAGCGGTTAGGTTGAGGTGGGATCGGCTTCCCTGAAGAGATGAGTCCTTAGGGTACGCGCAGTGGCATAACAATCACCATAGCGACCCAGGTGGCCACTATGGGGCACAGTGGGGCCCGGCCAGATGCTGTGCGGGCCGCCTGGGTCGCTATGGGATCCTCTGCTGGTGGCTTTCACTGGCGGCAGAAGACTAACATGCCGCTGTTCAGATCACTGACAGTAATCTGTGCAGCAGCGCGTTCCTCTCCACAGAGTCAATGAGAGTGGAGGAGGAGGCGGGGCCCATCAGCGACCGTGGACGAAGAGGAGCCGGACAGGTAAGGAGTGCGACCAGCCCACCTGAGGGTGACCCTGCAGAGCCCACCATAGCGAGCCTATGGTGAGCTCTGCAGGTACACCCTCAGGTGGGATCTCGAGTGGGCTCTGCAAGGAGTATAACTAGACATCACGGTGCCCCATACAAAATTTTGCTATGGGGCCCTGTGATTTCTAGTTACGCCGCTGGTTACGCCTAAAGGCAGTCAAGGTGGGAGATAGACGGACAGGTTGGGGTAAAGAGTTCCAGAGGATGGGAGTGACTCTACTGAGGTCCTGGAGGCGAGCATGGGAGCAGTTGACAAGGGAGCTGGAAAGCAGGAGGTCTTGGGAAGAGCGGAGGGGGCGGTTAGGGTGATACTTTGAGACCAGGTTGGAGATATAGCCGGGGGCGGAGTTGTGGATGGCTATATAGGGGGTCCTTTGCTAATAGCCAATAGCCAGTCACAATCCAGAGATGCTGGAGATGAAAAGCGCAGAGATTTCCAGCACTGGATCATGGATTTCCTCCAGGAACACTAAGGCCGAGAATCACTTTGTACACATCTTTCTCATGGGGCGGAGTTGGATTGATCGGCGCTTTACATAAAAGTGGAATTTAAGTCACGGGTTTATTAAATGTGCCGACCACAATAAGAACGGACCACCTCTGACCAATGAGTGACACCCATCACAAATGAAATAACACTCCTGGTGTCACCCACCATGTTCACTCCTTTGGTCCTTGTACTGGTATCCCAGTAACAGCCAACACCTTGCAGACCCATCAAGGTTTTGTAATCAGTTGGGCTGTCCCTGTTCTGATTGGTTGTCTCTCATCCTGACCTCCAATTGAGCCAAAAAAATCAATGAAGGCTATAGCATGCTCGGATGCATCAACAACGCAGGGTAGTGATGTCCACCGGCCCGATCAATCCTTCATTATACAAACACAGACACACAAACTAATGGGGGGAATCTCACCATTGTGGGAGGGGCAGAGACACAACTACAGGAGGAAATATCACCATTGTGGGAGGGGCAGAGACACAACTACTGGAGGAAATCTCACCATTGTGAGAGGGGCAGAGACACAAACTACTGGAGGAAATCTCACCATTGTGGGAGGGGCAGAAACACAAACTTGAAATTGCTGGACAAATCCCCATCAGCAGCAAAACACAACTGCGCAACACAACAGTCAGCCACGATCTGCTGTCAGCCTCCTTTACCACTGGGCCCCGCCTCCTCATTCATGGAAGCTGGCAAGCATCACCTCTGTAGCCGGGCCCCCCCTC